GTATTCCATGTCCGGGGACTAAAACAAAGGTGAAGGTTTTGCATCCACCAAACCAGAGCTATTCGCCAAAGACGATCGCACTATTCTAACTGAGATGGATGGATGTGAAAGAACTCTTCAGCCCTGCGACTCACGAAGGACGGGGTAACCAGTTACTACTGGTAGGCGAGTGCAGCAAGCAGAAAATCCTCTGATGAGATGTTTACTCCCTGCATTCGGTAATAGGTACTAAATTTTGAACTTAAAGGCAGGTGATGTGATAAATTGGTCTCTGGTTGGCGATGAACGTAAATCTGCTATCAGGTACAGGGTGAAGAAATAACTGCGGGAAATGGCCAAAACTAGCAAAGTAGGACTCTTATCCCCCTTGGTTTCTGCTTTGAGTGATCTGGGCGGTGTCGACCTCATCGTCGAGAAAGCTCAGTTAGGCGCCTTCACTAAAACTGGCTAGAAGCTCGATGGCGAGAGCAGCAACTGGGGAAGCCAATCATTGGGCGGACAGAGGGATGGGTAACCACGAATACGCCATTTATCGGTCCTTCAGGCCCAGGCTTTAAGGAAGCGATTACGATAAAGAGGGAGCGCATCGGGGAAGCATATGCACCACACGAATCAGTTACTTGGCTGCCAAGGAAGCGAGGTGTGGCGCTTTCACGACGAAAGGTGCGCTGGTTGCTGAGCAGGACTTCGAAAGCACTCCGCCCCCAAAAGCGATCCGCCCACTAGTTTAGTTGGTGATTAGCGGCACAACTGGAGCAACTCGACTGGAGCATGGTTTGGCATGGTGCCACCAAACGCGTTGCGGTAAACTCGTCCATACGTCCGCTGTCTTAGCCGCTGCCCTCCTTGAGCGAAATCAACGGCCAAAAAGGGGTCCCGTTTTGCGTTTTCTTGACGGATTTCTCTGCTTTTTTCGCCATTGGTGTACCATTGAGCACCCCACGTCCCCTCCAAACCCCTTCAGAACCTGTAGTAAGGACCGGTAGTCTTTAAAAAGAACGCATTACCCCTTCTTCAACATCAAAATTACCATGCCTTTGTTTATAGAGAACAAATGGTTAACAGAAGAAAGAAAGAAAAATTAACGGCAGATAGAAAGGGATCATAATTTGTTGTGTCAGACATCAAGCATTCTTGCTCTTGCAAAGTGAGGAGGAAAAGGTCTTGCCTTTGTAGAAAGCTCACAGAGTTTCAGCACTGATCAATTCTTTCAAGGAATGCGCAGATTCTCTTTTATTCGGAATCGTTGTGGCATACAAATGAAAGATGGCTCTTCCAGTGTCCTACGGGGCCATCTTCTCGGACTGGTCAGGCAAAAATCACACTAACCCAATGTGCTGGAAGCCTCCAGGGCCCGAGTGATATCCGGTGCGTTTTCTGGAGGCAGTGACGACCCGAGAAAGACGTAGATTTTGGATTACCTCTTTGTTGAGAAGAAATGTTTTGAACCTGATTGTTGAGGAATTCACCGTAAAAAAAAAACTTCTGAAGAGACACACCTGCAACTGCACAGTTCAACATGTAAGACAAGTTTATTATAATCAAAGCCGAGATTGAAGAAATCCAAATGATCCAGCCGGAAGCAGCTGGTCAGCCCGTCGGCGAGCAAAATCCCATTTTACGCGGTCGCGACCGCTCGCCTACAGCTCCGCAACTACACACTAGATAGTCGTGAGGAATAGGGTAAGGACGGGTTTTAAGATACGCTATGAATACCCTGTAGAGGGCAGGAGCACTTGTTAAATTGTAAATCGCAAAGGCCAAGTTGAAGCCGATTTCTCGAACCTCAGCATTTACGTGTTCTCCTTTCTTCAATTTAGTATTTTCGAATAGTGTTCAGATTCTTCTTCAAAGCAGTGCACAGCAAGCCATCCAGATCTTGTTGTCGTTAGCCTGAGAAGTGCAGCGAGCTATTGCAGCGTCATCAAAAGTTTGTCTCTCGGGAGTCTATGCACATAATGAGGGTCACGCGGGCGACAGCAGCATTCAAGCAGTTCGAGAGTCTCGTACAAATATTCATTCTTACAATTACAATGGGAACCACTTTGCGTATCCCCCGAGTTCGTTGAACACGGTCGCTCATTGTTTCGTGGGGACTGGTGTTCACTTATACTGACGTAACAAGATGGCGCATGGATACGATCGGAATTATCTAGCTTTTCACTTTGCACATGTTTCGGTGCCCCTTCCACTCACTCCTCTCATTCCCTCAGATTTGGAGAGAACTGGCATGCACAGCGTGCGCCGGATCTCAAGGCTCCTTGTGCTTCGCAACTGAAAGGCTCACACGAAGCTATAGTCAAGCCATGGTCCACCAGTAGCAGCGTAAGTTCATGCTTTCATAGTCTTGCGCGTACCTGCGCAACTGTCCGTGGCGGACGGACGTCCAGCACGACGGACGCAGACTTATGAATCAAGTGCAGCAGTAGGCGAATCTCAGACTCGGCGAGATCGCTATGGGCGACATCACTGATACACGGGTAAGAATCGCATACACCAAGCACTCCCGCACCGCAACGATGAGTAGCGGACACATCTGTCTATGACTCTGTCACTGCAACACATGCCGTCTCATAGCTACAGCGTTTGAAGCCGGTTGGCATTAGATCATTAACACCCCGGCTTGGTGCATCGCTCGATACTTGTCGGTGCATCGTCTTGTATCAGACCGATTCCATCGTATATCACTAAGTGCCTTTACATCGGCACCCGATCGGTAGATGCATTCCCACGCTGCTATACGCTATTCAAATACTCGAGACCACACGATATCCAACTCTCTCGTTGCCACCTAATTATAATTTCTCACTCTTCTTAAGCCTTCTTCCTTCTCGGCTAAAATGATTACTATTGTAGGACACATGAACGACAATGCACCTCTCTCTCGCCCCCCCCGGTTTAGTGCACCACTGCCAATTTGTGAGAACAATACCATGACTTGACTATACTATTGAGAAAAGTATATCACTGCCAAAATGACTATATGCGTTCCCCCTTATCTTCCTTTTTTTATTCCCTTCCGCCAACAGAGGCGCAATAATAGCATCTTGCTTGCACTACTCGTCTCGCTCACGTTCTTCGATTTTCCAGTTGGTGCAAGCTATAAGCGGAAATGGATCCACTTCTCACACTGGAACCTGAACGGGGCCAGGCTTCTGACGGCGGGCCAAGCTTCGACCCCTGTTGGCGCGTATCGAGCGTCGGCTGAACTCTCACTCGTTACTTTATTTTCTTTTTTCATTAAGTTACTAGGTTCATCGCTTCATTCTTTTCGGTGGATTATTTTCGCGTTCGTCTGCTAGTCCTAATTTTGCTTGAAATATTTCAGCCACATACATTTCGCAGGCCAGAATTCTTACAACAAATTCGTCAATATTTTCCAAGATCATTTTCATTGTTGCGTTCATCTCTAACAATAATGGTTGATGTGTGATAAATTATTCCATCCTTGTTCATGAATTCGTTTCTCTTCTAGGGGTCGGAACTATTCGTGCAAGTGTTGGGTAGTTTTTTTCACCATGACAGACTCAAAATACTTCACCACTACCAAGAAGGGTGAGTTTCCGCGGTTTCCGGTATTTCTTTACTACTTGTGATGAACCTCTATGAGGAATTCTGATTTGGCTAGATTTTAATCCTATTTAACGTCCACAATTACATGGCTTCACTAGTTTAAATGTTTTCAAAGATGCAAAAGACGATTTTTCCTTCCAGTTTTTTGCAAATAACTGGTGAAAATATCACTTGCTGCCATTTGACACGGGTTTCGGATTAGAAGAAGGCATAGGGAATAGTTTCAATTTCAGAATAATCAAAAATGAGGTATTTTGGGGGTTAATAAGTACGATTTTACTGTGACCACACGTTCATCTGGATGCAGTAGGAAGGCTGTAACCTTCCTAATCACGATTCGTTTCGAACCATTTAACGTGGCTCGAATGGTATCGGAAAACTTCGAAGTTATAATTCAAAAGCCTTGAGATCATTAAGAATCTCTGAGGCGTTTGACCCCTCCTCTCTGGGCTTTGGTCGATCATTCAAATTGTAGAAAGCACATAGGATTTTATTGATTTGTGTTTCGATTTGTCTTTCTTTGTTCTTGAACTTTATGTTCAGGTGAAATTTTTGAGCTGAAAACAGAGTTAAATTCTGACAAGAAGGAGAAGAAGCGTGAAGCTGTCAAAAAGGTTATCGCAAGTATGACCGTGGGGAAGGATGTGAGGTGAGTATTCACTTTGTATAAAGTTTTTCCCACATTGATTACATGGTGTCACAATAGTGCTCGTGTATTTTAGTGCATTATTCCCCGATGTGGTCAATTGCATGCAAACGGATAATGTTGAGCTAAAGAAACTTGTGTATCTTTACCTGATGAATTACGCCAAAAGTCAGCCCGATTTAGCTATAATGGCCGTCAACACCTTTGTTAAGGTAATTTTGCTAAAAGTAACTCCGTGACTCCTGAGAAATAGGTTTCTTCTATTTATATAGGACTGTGAAGATCCTAACCCACTTATTCGAGCTCTCGCAGTGCGTACCATGGGTTGTATCCGTGTTGAGAAGATAACTGAATATTTGTGTGAACCACTGCGGAAGTGCATGAAGGTTTGTCTGTCAGATCGTTCCTATGCCATATTTGTGATCAAGATCAGGAATTCCGCGTATACACTGCGTTTCATAATTATAGGTCCACCCTAAATTTTTGCTACTCCAAAGTTGCTGTGCATTTTTTGGAAATGCTGCTATCACCATTAGATTCCTCGTCATGGAAAACCCTCACAGTGTTTTTCTGACAAAGTTCCTCCCTCAAGTAACCCAATTAACTTTTTCTGAACGAATTTTCACCGTTTCGTGAATATCGGGCTACTCATAAAAAGTTCCCATTTCTCGTGATCAGTGAAGGAAATAAGGGAAGCGGGGATATATCTGAGCTCAGTCGACATCGAGTTTACCGTACCTCGTGTTACTCGCCTCTCTTCCCAGTAACAAGCTCAAGCCAGAGCACTTACTGAAGTGGGATGGCAAAGGAGCAAAATTTCCTCCCAAGCCGGCCGGCTCCTACGACCTAAGCAACTAAGTGCGAAATCCTGGTCAGCGGGGAGAAGAGTAGCTTAGGTAAATGAAGACCGCGTTTCCTTCAAGATTTAGGAGGAACTTGGGCGTCTTCTCTCGAATTGTGTAAGGGGTCCGAACAAAGTTCGTGCTGAAATGCGGCCTTCCGTGAGCAAAACCACCGTGTGGTGTGTAAGTCAGCAGAGCAATACATCTTCAGCGGATTGATGAAGAGCGTTCCAAGATTATTTGAGCGCTACAAGATCGCACGTCTCCATTTCAGCGTGGAAAAGGGCGCAACTTTATGAACGAAGGTTTGGCTGTTCAGACCCTTCGCGATCTTGGACTCTAGCTCCTTGTTTCGTGCTACAGGTGATCTGAGATCGACGTGAAAAAGTTTATTCTAGGTGGATCTGATAGAAAAAAAGCGTACGGGAGGGTTCCGTGGAAATCGTAGATGGTTTTGATGTAAGGTAATTTTGGCGAAGAATCCCTTATGGATTGAGGCTCTTTTGAACGACTGAGCGGCTAGAGCTCGTGTTTGTTTCCTTTCAAGAGGATTCCATAGGGTATCGTGAAGTTCTTCTGAAGCGACTGTTACCATCTTTCCGACAACAGCTCCCTCGAACCTTGATTTTTACGCACGATAACGCGGCTGTCCATGCCGGTCCTTCCACGCCAGATGGAATTGCAGGAAAAAATGTGGCAGTTATCTGGTGGCCACCATGTTAGCTGAATCAGATTCCAATAGAGAATCATAAGGGCCTTAATTGTTATAAAGTTCCACAGCAAAGAAAAGCAAAATGGAACAGCCGAAGAGCTGAAAACGTCGATCATCAGCGCACAGACAAATTTCGATCCTACTGTAATAGCTAATTTGATTACCAGCATTCCAAAACGTATTATTGTGTTCCTTATGACTATGGGAGGACCATCCCATTGTTGAAAATTTGTGACGTTTTTTTGCTATAATAAAATCTCTCGAAAAGTGATCTGTAGTCATATTTGCGAAACGGTGAAAATACGTTCTAAAAGATATTTTAATAATTCTGAATCGAGATTTCTCCAAAAATCGAGTATCAAGGTTTTTCGTTATGGGGAAACTATTGGTAATAGCGGCATTTCCCAAAAATGCACAGCAACTTTGGAATAGCAAAAATTTAGGGTGGACCTATATTTATGAAACGCAGTGTATAAGCTTCCAAAACTTCGTAATAATGTATGTTGTCAAAGCTAAGTAGCGCTGATGGTAGCACGCAAAAATGAATGCTATGTTTGTAATCGCTACTTGAATAACTTGTTAAGAAATTCCAGATGAACATTTTTTGCCTTACCGTGGTTGCATAGTGTGCGATTCTTTTATTTCTACTTGATTTTTTTTTGTTTTGTTCTCACTTTCTATGACCAGCTGCTTATACGCAACATTTTCAGGACGAGGACCCTTACGTACGCAAAACAGCCGCCGTATGCGTCGCTAAACTTCATGATATGAACCCTAAGCTTGTGGAAGAACAAGGTTCGTTATTGTTATTCTCAGGCCAAGATTATTTAGTGTTTTTATTGTTTGCCTTATTTCAGGGTTTGTCGAACTACTCAATGACCTTATTGTCTGATGCAAATCCGATGGTGGTTGCCAATGCAGTGGCTGCGTTGACTGAAATAAATGAACAACGACCACTCATTGAGGTAACGTTTTCGTTCGTTCAATATCTGGTTCGCATTCTATGGGCAATTTTATGCAGTGCTAACGGTTTACCTAGTCATTTAATTTATGAAATTCCTGAGCAATTGTTTAGGTCAACAGTCAAATGGTGAACAAGCTTCTAACTGCTCTTAATGAATGTACCGAATGGGGACAGGTGAGAAAGTTCCCTTTATGAAAGAAATGTTTCATGAGTGTGCCAGTGAGACACATGAAAGGTTATGACAATTGCAGGTGTTTATTCTGGATGCGTTGGCTGGCTATAGACCTCGAGATGAACGAGAGGCACAAAATATTTGTGAAAGAATTTCGCCTCGTCTTGCCCACGCGAACGCTGCTGTGGTTCTCTCCACTGTTAAGGTGGGTTATTTTCCATATTGAGCTCTTTCTTTGCTGAAGGTACCCTTCAGTTTGGATCCCGTTTCAAGTCAAAGGTTGATCTAGCAGTTTTGTGAATGTCCTGTCATATCAATTCGCTAATATGCTTTCTTTATGTACACATTTGTTTCTGCTGTACACTTTTATGTCTGAAACAATTCGTCTCTTTAGGTCTTGATGAAATTGGTTGACATGCTGCCGCCAGATTCGGAATTCATTAACCAGCTGACAAAGAAACTCGCGCCACCAATGGTGGGTCATATTTCAGCGAAGCATTGCTTGTCTTTCCATGACGATGGCATGATTCCGTCATGTTTTGGTCTTTTGTATGCTTAATTTATGCCTTGTTCTTGTCGAATATGGTTAAGGCCACTGAGTTCTTCCTTACTCACAGGTCACATTACTGTCAGCGGAGCCGGAGATCCAGTATGTCGCATTGCGCAACATAAACCTTATCGTTCAGAAGAGGCCGGATATTTTGAAACAAGAAATGAAGGTGATCGTAAAACTATTTTGTCGCTATATGCACCTTTGAAACTTCGAACAGAACGGTCCATTCTGATCTTGTCCGCTTGTCCTTTACTCAATAATTCTTGTGGCTTTTTAGGTCTTCTTCGTTAAGTATAACGATCCTATTTATGTGAAAATGGAGAAACTGGATATTATGATCCGACTTGCCCAGCAGAACAATATTGCACAGGTGCTCAGTGAACTCAAAGAGTGAGCGATGTTTGTCTCTTAAGATGTGTTGAAGGCGCCTCAAAAGCGAACGAATATAGGTTCTAGAAATTTCCAATTTTTTTCAGGTACGCTACTGAGGTTGACGTAGATTTCGTTCGCAAATCCGTAAGAGCCATTGGCAGATGTGCTATAAAGGTGATTTTCAGAATTGTAAATCTATCAGAATTTCACTGTACTACTCACCAGTTTTTGTAAAGCATCGCTTATTGCTGAGCCGGGAAGCGGAAGCTTCCGAAGTGCATATTTCATGAGTGCCTCATCCTGTTAATCTGAATAGCAAAAGAACAAAGAGGCTTTCGAAGCTGCTCTGCGAAAAAACTAAGAAACACACTTCAAATTCTCCGCTTTATGCGTCGTAATTTTTATGGCAATTATATTTTTAAGGTGGAAACGAGTAGCGAACGCTGCGTTGCCACGTTACTAGAACTTATTCAAACGAAAGTCAACTACGTGGTCCAGGAAGCTGTGGTTGTCATAAAGGTGGGCTCTTAATGAAAGTTTTCGTACTGTTCTTCTGCACATCACTGCTGTTTATTTTTAGGACATCTTCCGTAAATACCCGAATCGCTACGAAAGCATTATCTCTACCCTATGCGAGGTAAGTTGTTCCCGCTTGCAAACAAGAATTTCTCTACCTCCTACTGGTTTTATAGGCTTTCCATCCATTCTTTTTTTAAAAGTAGATTTGGTAACAGTGAGGGAGAATTATCTATTAAGCGGCATAAAAGGACCAGTACAAATCTAATTGTAGAACCTGGACACGCTGGATGAACCAGAAGCACGCGCGTCCATGATATGGATTATCGGTGAATACGCCGAAAGGATTGATAATGCTGACGAACTGTTGGAAAGTTTCGTCGAAGGATTCCACGACGAAAACACCCAGGTATATTTGAATTCAATGTGATGTCATTTGCTTAAAGGGTTACGCTCATCGATATTTTTTTTCTTTTTGTTTTTTTTTTGTGCCAGTGAAGATGTTCTCAATGTTGACGCGATTTTTATGTGAGAGGTTATGATAGGTTTTTGTTCTGTATGTACTCGATATGGGAGACGGACCTTTGGATGCGATCCGCGGGTTTGCACGCGCAAATCGGGACACGCTTTGCGGGCCTACGCGCCCGCAAGTCCTTGCCTCGCACCGACTCGCCGTGCGGCCCGCGCGGCGCGATTGCCGCCCAGTGCAACTCCCATAACGCCACCAAAAGTCCCGCACCCGCGATATGAAGCGGAACCAAACTAGTTTCTGGTTGGCTTTATTTTTGTATTTGTTTAGGTGCAACTACAGTTGCTTACCGCAGTTGTGAAGTTATTCCTGAAACGACCTACTGATACCCAGCAATTGGTTCAACGTGTGCTGTCTTTGGCTACTCAAGACAGTGATAATCCCGATTTGAGGGATCGCGGGTATGATTTATTATTTCGCGCTCCTTGGATTAAGTGTATTGTGAGTGGAGGTTGAGTTATAAGCATAAGGTAAAATAGGGTAGTGCATGCTAGATAAGAGGAAAGCAAATAGGTTTGTGCAGATGCTTGTTAATTAAAAGGCATCCCTATCCTTCATTACAATGTTTCATAGAAAATAAGCAGAGGAAAAGCGAAGCCAAAGGGCTAGCTTATGCGTGTAATTGCGACCGTCCCAACTAACTTGGAGAGAAGTGGTCGAATCTCGTTGATTTGCTCAGATGGTGCAGCACAGAAGGTGGGCCTCAATGTAAGGAACAAGGTTGCTTTTGAGCTGAGCTAATTCAGATCTGACCGCTCGTATAAAAAAAGACAAAGATTGACGCCAAAAGGTAGTTATGCTTTTTTGAGGATAGGTTTCTTCATAATAGTTTAGAGATATGATTGAAGCGCGATCTTCAAGTGGAGCGTTAATGAATTGAAGTATTGCTCCTTCACTCCTGTATGAATTTGTCGAATATTATGCTTCTTTTTCAAGTAATAATAACGTTCATCAAAGGAGGAAGCGTTACATACCAAACTTTTTCGTTTTACCTATTTCCTTTTATGTATATTTTTTTCGCTATTTGGAGTGTATTAAACAATAGGGTCAACAGGGTCGTTCAGGTATATATACTGGCGCCTGTTGTCGGCTGATCCCGCTGCAGCTAAGCAGGTTGTTCTTGCTGAGAAGCCGTTAATCTCAGAAGAAACTGATCTTCTGGCACGCCAAGTGCTCTTCTTTGACCAACTTTCTTGCCATAAGTCGGGCAGCTGGCTTCGTTTATCATACACCCCCACCCTTCGTTCGTTGATAGTGCAAGACAACCACTACGAGCAGGAACTGGCTTCACAAAGTATGGCATTTTTGTATTACAAATATATTATGTTACATGTAGACGATGTTGTCAGACCAGTTTATCGGGTCTTAGTCTGTCACGAAATTATCGCCGTAGGTTTTGCCTTCGTTGCTGCAAATTTGTTTTCTAGTGGTCAGTCATCGGTTGATTCCACCGGTGGAGCTGCGCCAGGTGTCGCTCGAAACGTTGCTCCTACTGTGATTCCTTCACAGGATACCCTTATTGCGGATCTGCTGTCTCTTGATATTTCTACACCTATGGGTGCGATGAATACAATGCCGAGTGAGAATTTTGCAATTTGTACATTTGTGACTTTCAATTTCTTACTCTCCATCCGGACATCTATGTTGTGTTTGCCTGCTTTCGAATCTTCAATTTCTCAGTTCCAACTGGAATTTGGCGAAACCGTTCTCACTTTTCTGGCCGTCAGATGTTCAGTAAACTGTCATTTGTTTGCTTCTTTTCAGCTTACGCTCCGATGTCAACGTCTGGTGGGCTGGACGACCTTTTGGGACTAGGAGGCCCGTCTCTTGTCGAACCTGCTGCTCCTCCAGTGGCTTCCACCACCTTTGATCCACTTGCCAATTTGGGCCTTGGAGCGCCTTCTGCTGCCCCAGTAGCACCTCTAGGTGGTGTGCCAGCATAACCAGTTGCGTCAGCTGCCCCGTCTCTTCCATCACTGGTAGTGCCTACTTCCACATCTTCCAATTTTAGAGTGCTTGGTCTTTAGGCGGCCTCGGTGACATTTTCGGCGGAACTCTAGGCTTGGTAGACACAAGTTTTGGTTATCAGGCGCCGAAACAGTTGTGGCTTGATGCAGCCAAAGCAAAGGTATGTTGAACAATATTACCAGTCTTGACAAAGGCTCAGCAGTCTTGTTATTTGTCTTCGAAATGTCTTTACATACTTCTTGAGACGCGAATGAAACATTTCTTTCATTAGCAAGTTTGAATTAGTCTTAGGAAGTGAAGTGCTAATTGCATCATCAACAATCCGATCTGAGCTGGTGTCTTGATTACTGGCTTACTATCGTTGATTTCAGGGTTGCAACTCGAAGGTACTTTCGTTCGTCGCGCAGGGAATATTAATATGGAAATGACCCTGACTAATAAGGTGAGAGGACAGCAAAGTCAAACTGATTTCTTGGTTAGCATTTTTAAATCATTCCAGGCAATGCAACCCCTTTCGGGATTCGCGATTCAGTTCAACAGGAACTCGTTTGGATTGGCTCCAGCTGAACCTCTCAGGGTTCCGTCTCCACTGATGCCAAGCCAGAGTGTCAACGTGAGTAATTCTGCTTGGACAGTGACGATACAGCGCTATAATCTTCTTTCTTAGGTTACTCTGCGATGTGATACTTCAGGAGGTGTTCAGAAATGGAACCGCTTCACCAATTTACAGGTATGTTTTATTGAAACCTAGTTAGTTACCTTCACTTAAACCACTTACAAGAGTATTTTCGACTAGTGACTTTTTAAACTTATCATAGTGCTAGAAAAGGGTGCTAGGTCAAACTTGTCGTTCGAATTTAGATTATACTACTAGGTACCATACTTACTAGCTGCAGCTATTACTTCGCATGATAACAAATCTGTCTTTTTTTTTTAAATGTATCTTTTCAACGAACTCGATCAACAATATTTTGTGCTGATCATCCTTACTGACTAAGGCACCCATATGCTTGATTCGATAATAAAGATCGGAAGAGCTCAGTCTCAATACATCAAAGCAAATTAGAAACGCGTTCATTTGATACAACATTATAATACATTACATAATAAATCGCGCGTTTCTGATGAAATCAACGATGATCTCATTTTCAATGACGTTGAATATGTCGGCCATAATATGTGGATCCACAGCTTGCGTGTCTCTGAAATCAAAATTTGAGTCTTCCCCTACTTATATAGTATGAATTCTTTTGAGGTCCACGATACACAAATTAATTTCTGTTCATACAGATTGTTTAGAAAGGACAGAGATTCCATTTAGCAAACTTTTCAATCCATGACTTAATTTTATATGATCCAAAACTGGAATTGTCATGGGACTTCTAGACTTGCACATGTCATTACAAAATTTGTTGCCCTGGTACGTATAACTTCGGTTCAGGTAGATGGACGTAGAAGGCCCAGTACAAATAGAGAATTGAGGAGAAGAAGGTTTTTCCATCTAATCGTTCATTGGTGATATGTCCTTCCTCTTGAAATTTGTGGTGATAAGGAAAATGGTAAAAGCAAGCGAGTGGCAATGACGTGGAAATTTGACCGATCTATGAGATCAATTTCTCGTGATGTTTTGAATTTGATTACGCCCGCCCTCCAGGAGTCCAGCTTAAGATTTTCATGAAGTATTTGTACAGAAAGGATATGGGGTGTTTTAGTGACACGTATGAAGGGGGGATTCAAAGGAAGGGGTAAGTATTTGGTCTGGTGTAATCGTAAACCAATCTTCAAAATTCTCTCGACTGAAATCGGAATTTTTTCTTCCTTTTTCTTCTTTTTTTTCTTCAAATGCGCGTCTTAAATCACTCGGGTCATACTTTGCAGTTCGAGCTTGTACACATAGCAGATACGGATCAATCATGCAATTACACAATCGATTCATATTTATTCTTTTTTTTATGAAGCTGCAAATTAAAGCATAGGTTGCATGATCAAAAGCATTAGCCTACTTTCGGACTGCAAAATGTGACTCAACCCTCACGTGATTGTTGTTGGGGTAGCGCTTCAAACGCAGTTAAGAGTGTATAAGTAATCTGGCTATTTTTCTCTTGTTCATTCTCTTCTTTACATAGTGTGGTAGTAAATGCAGACTTATCAACACAGATGTGGCATCAAATAATCAATAGCATCAAAAAACCTAAGTGATATCGGTTTTACACTGCTGCAGCCTTGAGCACTAGTGATTCTGCAGACTAGCAGTAGCTCGTCTGCTATACCGCGTCTGTATTTCTGAGTCTGCAGTTACGACTTACCTGGGTATGGAAAACAAATTGTAGCATGGGGTAGGGTTCTCCTAACCATAACGTCACGATAGACTGAAGTGGGCGGTTCATTTCAATTCTTTTTACTGGTTTCTTCGGGTCTCATCCAGTAAGGGGGCATGCAGTGCGACACTTCATATCGCATGAACTAATCCACAATCGCACTTTTTTCTTTTTTGCAGGGAAGGGAAGCTCTGGAGTGGGTGTAAAAGCTCAAGCGAAATGGTTCACGCACCCCGGGGATTCCCTCCCTTGCAAAAATTGGAATTTCTGTAGCCGGCAAGAACTGTCGCACCACATGCTCTTCACCCCTCCCCTTTACTGGATGAGACCCGTTTTTTCTATCAACATCCATATCATACCCACTGTTAGCAATGGCAAAGAGGCGTTAGTGGATCGGGCAAGCCGCCGTTATCATGGGTAATATAAAAAAAGATTAAAAATGATTATTTTTTCAAGTTTTTGTTTCCTCCAGTAAGCATTTCAAAGGAAAGGAATTTTCAAATCAAATTACTTTCTGTAAACTCTTGTTCCTTTCTTCCGTTTCTGAATGACGTTGTCGAATTTGCTTTCAATGGCTCTGTGCACCACTTTCACAGGAATATTGCCATCTGTCAGACCTCGTTTGGATCCTAAAAATCACATAGCTTTATCGAGAAAGATTACTATCGAGTTGGGTGAGGTCGCACCTTCTGTCAGGGAACTATTGAGACGTTTGATGATCTCAGCACGACCCTCATCCGTCTTCGATAACTCCGTCACAATTTCGTTAAATACATCTTGTTTGTTGAAAAATATCAAAAGTCCACAATTTTGGATTGCGTCCACGCTGAGTATCCGCTTAAATAGTGAACTGATGACTGGCGAAATTTGAAGGGAATGCCTTCATTCGAATGATATTCTCACGTCAAGTATTCTTATACTACGTTCCATTGCCGTTCGCTTCTCTTCTTCTTCGTCTTGGACGTTGAAATCAGCCATCGATGTCACAAAAAGTATGAAGTTCATGTAACCTTCTCTATCAGCTGCGATCCACTGCTGCATGAATTCTGGTATTTTCATCTGAAAATTGTCATAATCTTCGTTGTCCGTCTCTTTCTACAGGCACGGTAGCTGATGAAGGTACAGTAGACATACTGGAGAGGTGAGGTAACTGAAAAAAGGAGATCTGGAGAGGAACAAAGATCACTCAAAGGTTCGAAGAAGCAAAGAGCAAGGAAAGCAACAAGGACTAATCAGGGTGGTGATGGTGAGAGGCGGGGGGGGCGATAGGGAGAGGTGAATTAGAATGATCTTGAAGCGAAAGATTTCCATTGTAGGAAGTATAGCATGACGATTGTTTAGGTAAAAAATTAACCGGTCAGCATCTGAGAGGGATTTCTGTCTCACAGTGAGGTAATAGTGAAAAAACTACTAACCATAAGTGAGTTGTCACGAGGGCGAGAAATGGAAGGAAAAGAAAGAGCCAGCAGTTGACACAAAAATGCAACGATGTTAAGGGAGTTAAGATTAGGGTTATGAGGCCAACAGCATAAAATGTCGAGAAACAAACGGAAAAGAAAAGAAACAGCTGAGAAAACCTTTTGTGCAATGTAAGCCACGCTCTGAAGAAATTTGGGCGCAATGTGCATCCGAGGAGGGGGACTAGTCTGTAGGATGGTTACTGGGAATAAGCCTAACGGGGTGGCACAAATTCTGGAGACAATGAGTTTCGCTTGAACACCTCGGATTCCCTCTTCCCCTCTATGGGTTAATCCTGAAATTGAGTGTTTCCGTGAATTTGACGCAATATTACGGGCCGAGCCCACCTACGAAACCACATTACGCCGAAATTTGTGGGTGAATGTGCCGTTCGGGGACTTTTCCCAAGATTCCAAAGAACTTCCGAAATCTTCCTCAATGTATCAAGTTGATGCGTACAAGGAGGATCGTAGTTATCGACTAAATTAACAGAAGAAAATGGGTGCTTCAACGTTAGTGTGTACGTTGGAAGGTAAAAACAATGATGTTCTATTAGGACTTGTTTCGCTCACCATTTCTGTAGGTTGTCCACCCATATCGTGAATTTGGATATACGTGCCGTTAATACTGAATCGGAAGTCCTGTATATCTGTCGTTGGGTGCCTAAATTACGTGTAATGACTAGGTCCGTAATTAGTGAGAAATTCTAGATTTTAAAGTTCCATATGCAACGAAAATGTAACTAATCGCTGAAGATAGTTTGGATAGGTTCATCATCTTTAGCACGACAATTTAAAGGATCATGCGTCTGTCAAGCATCCCTTTTACATGGTTTTGATTCGAACCTCAAGGGTCTTGCTCATAATATGAAAAACCAGAAATTTTGGCTTTTCAAGGGTTCACGTGGAAGCATCAAGAAAGTCAGCAAGGGTCACTATTGACTTCATCATTACTAAGAAAAATATGGTCGTTGCATGAGGGGGTCTTGCCGTTTGATGAACCAACCGCGCTTTTCCTTCGCAGTCAGGCGCATCCTCCACCGGACTGGAGCTGGC